GACAGACAGGGTGGACACACGGCAGTTCTGTGGATAGACAGGACCGTGGATGTTAATGTTCTTTCCACAAAACTAGAATTGCTGCTACTAATAATATGCCATTGCTGCCATACTGCCACATCCATAGGGAGACACAGTAAGAAATACAAATACATATTATAATTATTTGGTCTAGACAAATGGGCTCAAGTATATTCATTTTCTTTGAAGCTGATGTAGGACTTTTTTTCAGAATTATGGAAGACCTTAGAGAACCTCCCTGTTATCTCAAAGCTGTAGCTTTCCAGCCCTGTTGCTATTTGCCTCACAGAGATATTTCTGAGTCAGCATTGCATTTAATGCCATTTTAAAAAGAAACCTTAATCTGATCCTATCTCATTTAGTTTTGTAACAACTTCATATCTGACTTGGCTTTATTTCGGTTTCCTTTGTATCATAAAGTACCTGTTACACAATAAGTTGCCTGCAGTGAAATGGGAAAAGGCGGATAGATTTCTTATATTGATAATCTTTATTTGCAGAAACCATACAAGTCAGTTATGTTTATTGTCTTATGTCCTGTTTCCCTTCTAATTTTAGGTTGCATATTTAGGGTCCTCGCAGCCTAATGTAGACAACTTAATACTGCAAGCAAAATAGAGTTGAGAACAGTGCTATAATCAGAAATAGAAATAAAACCCCTTTGATTTTGTTTCCAGTAGTCAAAGGAATGCTCAGAAGGTCTACTAATATTTTTTTAAAAAATAACTGCAAGAGGCACAATGTTTTTGCAATTCTCATAGCAGTGATCTTCTATAACTGACAATTTAGCATACATTTGTATCAGAATGTGATAAAAGCTATCACACTTACGTGCCCATAAGATTTTAGAATTTCCCTTTCATATGATCCACCATGCTATTTAGCACCCTGTTTATGCTGTTGGTTATTTTATAGCAATGGTTGCCTGAAAAATAGAGAAATTAAATGTCTACTTTTTGGATGCCTTCCAAATAGAATGACAACTTTTGGACAAAAATTCTTCCACCTGTGTATCTGAAATTTGGCACCCCGATAACTCTCAAAAAGGCACCCTGCCAATTTCTACTAGATCAGTCAAACTGTAACTTGGAAAATATTGACAGTTCTGTTTTTTTAAAAAAACAAAACATTAAAGCTTATCACCAAACTCTTGCATCTGTTTCCAGTTTGATAGGCATAATCCCTTTCCATAGAGCCAATCTGCAATTTAATTAAGTTCTGTCAAACAGAATAATAATAATAATAATAATAATAATAATAATAATAATAATATTTATACCCCGCCACCATCTCCCCAAAGGGACTAGGCGGCTAACATGAGGCCAAGCCCAAGAATTACAATAAGGCAATGCATACAACAGAAAATAACATCAAATAAAATACTAAATAATAACAAAGTAATACAATAAAATAAAACAATAACATAATTACACAAATATAAAATAATAAAGAAATTAAACAACAAGAAGAAAAATGATCATCTCTGCTTTTGTCTTCTCCATCTTGGCCAGTGGGAAGACCCTTAATTTGGATTTTCAAATTTAGTTGTCGGTTTGGAATTTGAGTTGAACTAGATCCACTCACCAAATAGAAGTGGGCTGTTTTCCAAAATACTAGATTGGAGTACAGATTGATTCTAGGACTCTGATCCTTTTTATTACAATAACATTTAACACATTGATAAATGTGTGAAGTGTTTGTTCAGTTTCTGTTTTGCATGTATAGTATCAGACTTTAGTTTGAATGAACATATTTGTAGCATCTCTGTCTTAAACATTTAGTATCTGGATTGAGCAATTACAATCTGTAGACATTTTATAGTTTTATCATCAAAAGATCACTTGTTTTCAGCTGCAGCATCGCCATTTGAACTCATATGTACCATTTAACCCTAACAAGTGGTTGAATATGTTTTGAGGTTAAAATGCAAGAATTTTCTAGTGAAGGGAAAAATATTGATCCCTAAATGAGTGTGCTATATATGAGGCTATCTTTGAAAACTACTCAGAAACTTTAGCTTACCCAAGGAGCCCTAACCAAGTTGTTAAATAGTGCTAGCTATAGAGAGCACACAACTCCCTTGTTACAACAGATTCATTGACTGCCATTTATAATGCTGGTTTTCTACTTCAGCAGTCCTTATTTGAAAGACTGTATCTCCCTTTATGAACCTCACAGAGCAATAAGATCAACTAGAGAGTCCCTTCTCTCTATCCACCACCTTCCCTGGATTATTTGGTAGGAACAAAGTAGAGGCCTTCTCGGTGACTGCTCCCAGACTTTGGAAACTGATCCCTTGAGAGTCCAGGATAATCCCATTGATGCTCTTCTTCCTTTGCCAGGCTTTTACAAATTGAGTAGGGTAGCCATGTGGTGCTGCTTTTAAGGTTTGTGTATTATCTAGTGATACATATGTTTAATGTTTTAACTTCATAATTTTTTTAATATAAATTGTTAGTCCCCTTGTGTCCAATTACCAGGATGAAGTCAGGATATAAATAAATACAATAATGATGACAATAGTAATATAAATAAAAATAAGTATTGATTGGGACCCAGTGTGGTTTAGTGGTTTGAGTGTTGGACTATGACTCTGGAGATCATGATTCAAATCTCTGCTCAACCTTGAAATCGCATTGTGCCTTATCCTCAGAGAAGGGCAGAGGAACCCTCCTCTAAACAGATACTGCAAAAAAAAAAAATCCTGATGGGTCTGCCTTAAGGTTATCAGTTGAAAAAAAAACTTGAACATACATATCAACAAGCATTGATCACCTAAATTGAGTATTTAAACATGCATGCAAGTTATAATAGAGAAAGTGACTGTAAGAAAGAAACACGTACTCTTTAAGCATTCATTTCTTCTTTTGGAATGAGAACCTCCTCATAGTTTGGGCACTTTGAAGATATTGGTGAGTTTTCCAAAATGTGTAGGCGAGCAGTACATCAAGTGCATTGCCTTGTGCCAAAGGCTCTACTGAAGCACATGAACAACTGTGCTTGCTTTCTTGTTTTGCTTTAAATGTCTACGTGCAGCCTCAGTTTACATTTTTTTAAAAGAGCATGGGCAGGAACAGAAGATGATATTCTTTGGGGCTCAAGATTTCACTCCATGTTGTTTTTTGTTTTGTTTTTTTTCATTCTCATATCATAGCCTTTCATAAGCTGTGGCCCTTGTAAATGTCTATCACCCTAGCAAAGAGTAAACTTCATTTCAGGTTAATTACAAGGTAGTTTGTTTTCTCATAACTCCCATAGAATTTGAAGCGTAATTTTTGGTGTTTCCTCAGTGCCATACAAGTATTTGCAGAAAAACACATCCTGGTTTTTAATTTGAAATACCGAAGGCAGAGGAAGGAACCTTTAATTTCAACAAGCTGTAGGTAGATCAGACAATGCAAAGAGTACTTGCAAAAAGGAAAGAAAGAAATAGTGATATTGCGTGTATAACTGGAAAATCGTTGTATCTTGGCAGCTTGTTCCAGAAAGAAAAACCCTTTCCATTTTGAGTGTGCAACAAGGTTTTCTCCCCTGTTGCAAAGTGTAACTCTAAACATTGAGACATCAGGATGAAATTTGGTGCCCCTTTCTCTATTTTTAGTCTGAACTTGGCTTTCATGGGGAAGCATGTTTAGACACAATTCCCTTCCCAACGTCCTCTTTGTAGAAAATGGGAAGGATAGTCAAACATTTGTAAAAAAAAAAAATTGTGTCAGGAGTTACTCCTGGTGTGAGAGAATTGGCCATCTGCAAGGACGTTGCCCAGGGGACGCCTGTATGATTTGATGTTTTTATCATCCTTGTGGGAGGCTTCTCTCAGAAGCTGTATGGAAGTGGGCAAGTTACCTTAAATTGAACCTTCTTGTTCCTGGCGATTTTTAAAAACATATCATGAACTACCATTTATCTTTCTAGCACTTGAAAAGTATAAAATTTAAAACACTTTTCTCTCCGTATGCACTGTATATTGTAATGATGAACACTTAAACTTGCAAGTTTATGAGAACTAATACCAGAATCTTTCCATACTGGATGCAAATTTTTCTTATTTTGTTGATGCTTCTTAAAAGGTTTGTTTTTGAGGAGCTGATTTTGACCTCTTTCAAAGAACATACAGCCCTTCAAGAAGAAAGAAATGCATGCATTTAAGATTGATTTTGAAGTGACGCAGGCATGCCATGTTGGAACTTCCATTCATTTACCTTTTCCTCACTTATTAGCAAAGTGGAAAAGACGAAGTCAGGCTCAGGACAAATAGAAGCCAACAATACATGAATAAGCATTATGTAAATTCCAACATGTTCTGATGCTGTTATAGTTCCATTCCTCGTGTTTTTGCTATTTTCTGTGGTGTCTTTCTATAGTTGACACCTTGAAATTCCTGACTGATTGGGTGAGATGTTAATATTTAAGTATTATGACATCACAGGATGGCTGAAATCAATGCTATTGAGGCTTGAATCCCATTGAGGGTTTACATCTTCATAAGTATATTTAGAATTGGTCAGTTCTATAACATCATATCCAGGATGGCACCTAAACAAAGGGAGCATTGATGCTGTTTGTTCGTCCAAATTTCCTTTGCTTTTTTAAGTCTTCAAACCTTCCTCCAAGAAGCTCAAGCTGCATGATCTATAGTCAAACAGTGAGTTTTATGGATGAGTGAGACTTGAGCCCAGTCTAATCTGACAACCTAAACCACTGCACATTTTGATGTCTTTGGGATTCCATAGGTATGAGAAGCTTTGCTTCTTACTTTTGAGGTATACGTTGGCCTACTGTATCTCCATAAATGCTCCTTTAGTGACAGTGGTCTCTTTCTAGTGGTCCTTGTTTAACTCTGAAATAAGATAACTACACATGGCAGAGCAGTGCCATGGAAGCCATGCATATTTGGTTCTGTGTAAGCTTGATGCTGTCTTCCCCCTGTCCAGAAGAATATTTACATCCACATTTCCATGTCTTCTTCTCTTTTGTAGGCACAGTATTATGGAGAAATTGGCATTGGAACACCACCACAAAAATTTACTGTGGTCTTTGATACTGGATCATCCAACCTCTGGGTACCCTCTGTCCACTGTCACTTGTTGGATATTGCTTGCAGTAAGTATCTTGTCTTGCTTTTGTAAAACCCCACATCTGACTCACTTTCTATACCAGTGTCTCACCTTTTATCCATCTGCGGCCATCTGTATTCTTTTTATGTGCAGTGAACTACGAAGTCTCTAGCATGTTGGCTTGGAATGATGGAAATTACAGTCCCATAATACCTGGAAGGCACCAGATTGGAGATGACAGTTTCTAGTATTAGATAAAGATATTCTTTAGAATTTAGTATAAGAGCAGCCTCCACTGATATTAAACCTTTAATCACATTGGAGCCCATTCGTAAATGATCCAGGAGATGCCTCTTAAACATATCTGTGAATAAAAATCCATAATGGTTGTAAGTGATGGGCATTATACAAAATGTTAAATTAATTCATGTGTCTAAATTAACAAAATGGTTTTAAAATGGCTTCAAGGGAAACTGTCTTCCATATCTGTGGTGCTACAATCCTAGATGGTGGTGTGACTCCATCAAAGCAATAAAGCCTAGTGCTCCACTTCAACATTTCCACGCATGATGGTTTTGGAGCCTTTTCTCTTTGACAAAATGAAGTGTTTACACCTGGAGAACGAAGCCTCTTAAACTACTTACCAACTCTCTTCAGAAATATATGAACTCAAGCTGGCTTCTCAAGTCCTGAGCACCCTTGAGAAAAGAACCTGCCAGATGCACTTGAATCTCAAAATACTCTTTCCAAATCCAATTTAGGAGCCAAATTGGATCTCTCCACTTAATTCCCCATATGTTGGAACAGCTTTAGAAAACATTCCGTGTTAACGCTTCCAGGCAAAGACTGCATGCTGGTAGTCATTTTGTCCTACACAAGACATGTCACTGGTTCAAAAGGAATTTTTAAAAAATGATACTTGCCAGCAGATGGCCCTTGAAATGGACAGAGTTTGCTGGAGGCACTCAAATTCTGTGCTAGCTTTATTACATATCAAATCACATAAGGGGGGTTATAAAAACTGTTTGCTCCAGAAGTAACAGTAGCTTTGTTGATAACTAGAGCTTCACTTATTTATTTATTTTGTATCAAAAGCATTGCATAAATAAGTATAAAACTGATAAAAATAGAAAGAGTATAAACAGCTTCTTTTTTGTGCAAAAATGGACAACAGCAATCACATTGTCTGTAGCTTTAAACCATTCTTCCTCTGTACATAAGGCAGGGCATTGTGGACAAGCATGCAGGTGAGGACTTGTTTGTCCTGCTCCACAGTCACACAAGGTGGAGAATTCGTTTAGGTAGTTTCATTTTGACAGGTTGTTTTTTTGATCTGCCTACTCCACTTTTGAGTCTCTTGGGGGACTTCCACGTTACCCATTCTCGGTTTGTCCCTAGAGGCAGACCCTCATGGGGGGGCATCCAATTCGGATTTCCTGGTTTAGCTGCCCAGAGGGATACTCTTGCTGTTGCTGGGGGAACGTTAAAAGGAGTAGTGGTTCTCATGAAGCTTTTCCTTGATTTGAGTCTACTGGAAGGAGGCTGATAGACATGCAGTGGGTGGCTTTCACAGAGTTCAACCTTTTTTCTCTCACAGTTAGCAACAACTTCCTGTTACACATTCTGGGGGAGGTGAGCAATGCCAGCTAGCTTATAGAGGTTATCAGCAGGTGTACGTTTGAGACATCCTGTGATTATTCTGCGTATTGCATTCAATTCTATGTTCACCTGCTTCGCGTGGGCAGTCTTGTGCCAAACAGGGCAGGCATACTTGGCAGTTGAGTAAGACAAAGCCAGGGCTGATGTTCTTATTAATTTTGGGTTAATTTTGAGTTTCACTCAAGATCAGACTGATCTCCCCATCAGGCACTGTTCCTGAAAACCTGCACCTGGAAGTGGCTAGAGGTCTACTACTGATTTCAGAGAAACATTCCTCTGGGATGGAGGAATGAAGCCAGGAGGGGATCTGCCATTTTTTTATCATTAATATTTTATTAAGGGATAAAATAGGGGCACATTGGCAGGTTTAAATTAATCTCCTGTTTCCTCTGACGTAAGCAAGATTGGGGTCGTCTGAAGTTTCTTTCTTCTTTCTTCGATCTCACTTCTCCACTTCTTCCTTATATGTAACTTATTTTTTAATCAGAGTCCAATCAATCTTTTCTGTAGTAGGCCTCAGGCTGCTCCTAAGAAATTTTGTTAAGCTATCCATATTTTGAGGGAAAATCGTTTTAGGTGGAAGATTGGGAAGTTTTCAATGTTTGTTACCTTTTTCCATTGGGAGTGATCTAGAGGCTGCAAAAATTTGTGAGGTGCATGCATTTCAGGAGATACCCGCCCATGGGATGGGCTTACTCACACAAAAATTTTATTATTGTGAGTAAATAAGAACTATATGCATTGAGGAAGCAGCATGGCATCACGTATAATTTTGAGATTAATAACTGGACATATATATATATATATATATATATATATATATATATATTTTACTTTGCTTATATACCGCTGTATCTCAAGCCCGAAGGCGACTCACAGCGGTTCACAAACAGTAAAAACAGTAGAAACAGCAGTGGTTCCATACAACATATAACAATTGACTTAACACATTATCCATAAATTACCAATAAGCAATTACAATGAACAATTATTACAAAAAACAACCGTACCCAATCTTCTCATCATCCAAGCGTAGTCCAGGTTCGTCGTCCATTGTTCCATTCCTATGTTCCATTACCAGATTGCACTAAATTACTCAAACGCCTGCACAAACATCCAGGTCTTCACCTTTTTGCGGAATACCATTAGAGATGGTGCTGGTCTAATGTCCGTAGGAAGGGCGTTCCACAGCCGAGGAGCCACCACCGAGAAGGCCCTATCTCTCGTCCCCGCCAGCCGAGCTTGAGAAGCAGGCGGGATCGAGAGCAGGGTCTCCCCGGAAGATCTCAAAGTCCTGGTGGGGTCATAGGCAGAGATGCGGTCAGATAGGTAGCTTGGGCCGGAACCGTTTAGGGCTTTAAAGGCCAACGCCAGCACTTTGAATTCAGCCCGGTAGCAGATCGGTAGCCAGTGGAGTTGGCGCAACAGGGGGGTTGTATGCTCCCTGCGCTCCACTCCTGTTAAAATCGGCTGCCGAGCGTTGGACTAGTTGGAGCTTCCGAGCTGTCTTCAAAGGCAACCCCACGTAGAGAGCGTTGCAGTAGTCTAAACGGGATGTAACCAGAGCGTGGACTACCGTGGCCAAGTCAGATCATCATGATACCATAATGGTTATTTGTTCCACTAAGTGAGCCTTGAGTTTATTTATTTTTTTACTGTCACTTCACTTTCAGTAAGTCCCTAGGATTGCATGAATCTGCAATAAGCAAGAACATTTTTAGAGGTTCATTCAAACTTACTAAATTGGTTTAGAAATGTATCACATCAGGGAAAGTTTAATAAAATAAAACTTTTCTCTCTCTTACCTGGCTTCTGGGCTTTTAAGAAAGATTACAGCATGCATGTCTTAGTCTTTCTTTTAGCACAAAGAGTTTATTAGGGTTCTAGGAAGTAAGTCATCATGAGTACACTAATAGATTTATTCCTTACCCACCTCTCCTTGAGGCTCACGGCAGGGCACAACACAGTTAAAAGCACATAATTATAAAAATGTGTCTTAAGTGTTTAGAAATATGTGGTATATATGAATGGTACCCATGTGTATATCTGTTCTTATCTACTCCCAGTGCTACATCATAAATATGATTCTTCCAAATCGAGCACATATGCGCAAAATGGCACAAAGTTTGCCATCCACTATGGTACCGGAAGCCTCTCAGGATTTCTCAGCCAAGATATTGTAACGGTCAGTATATTCTCTTGTGTTTTCCTTACTCATGTTATTAAAGCTTTGACCCTTGGCAAAAAAAGGGAAAAACTTTCTCTAAATTCTTTACTTCACTGCAGTCCTACGAAGATGCAAAAAACTTCACTGCTGCATTGTTAGACTACATAAATATAGAATTTTTGTCTACGTATCTCCTTGATCTTCTCCCAGAAGGAAAACAGTGTTCAACCTGGTGACATTGGAACAGATGATGCAGGAGGGGAAATGCAGCAGGGAATAGGTAAAGAGGTAGTACAGGAATGACCACAAGCTGAACATGATTCAACCCTGTGATGTGTGAAAGCTTTAAAAAGCCTATGCAAGTCTAGGCTACATTAATAGAAGTATGCTATCTAGATCAAGGGAAGTATTACAACCACTATATTCAGCTTTGGTTAGACCTCACCTGGAATACTGTTTCCACCACAATTCAAGAAGGATATTGGTCAGAAGAACATGTTTGGAGGAGGACATCCAAACTGGTCAAAGCCCTGGAAACCATACCCAATAAGGAAAGGATTCGGGAGGTGGGTATATTTAACCTGAGAGGAGACATGAAAGCCATGTTTAAGTACTTGAAAAGATGTCATCTTGAAGATGAAGCAGGCTTGTTTTCTGCAAGGACACAGAGCAGTGGATTCAAACTATAGGAAAAACAATTCTACTTAAACATTAGTAATAACTTCCAGATCATAGGAGCATTTCAGCAGTGCAATATGCTGCTTCGGATCATGGTGGAGTCTCCTCTGGAGATTTTGAAAGCAAGGCTGGATGACAATCTGTCAGGAGTGCTTCGATTGTGTATTCCTGCATGGCAGGTGGTTGGACTAGATGGGCCCTGTGTTTTTCTTACAACTTTATGATTCTATGATAAAGGATAGATTTCCTACTGCTTTTGCAATGCATGGGGCTTCTTTGATGGACGTTTCTGTGTTTAGCAGTTTTGAAAATCACTACTTTATAAAGCCCTGTAATGTTTTAAAAGTAGCTATGATGGTTTTAAATTCAGTTCTTGAGCTCCTCAGTAGACATGCTTTAAATCTAAAATGGAGTAGATAAAATATTGTCTTTGTATGTCCCTTTTCCAAAACAACCATTTTCTAGCAAAGGATTGGGTGAATACCTCTACTAAGAGCCTCCAGTACTAATGTTTTAAATAGGTCGTGTGTCTTCCTGCACTGTTTAGCATTACAAATACTACATTAAAATGTACTTCCACGTTTTTTGGTTTGGGGGGAGGACTGACTGTGGACAGACCCAGAGCAGAATGTTACCCCAGATTTGTTATAGTTATATAGTTATTGGAACGAAAGGAACAAAAGTGGGCTGAGAACCCTTACATTGGAGAGGGAGGGTTAGACTAGATGGCCCTTGCTGCCCTTTCTAATGATTCTACAATTCTGCATCTATCAGATTTCAGAGTTGGAAAGCATTTCCACTAGTGTATGCTTCACTGTCTAGTTTCTGTGTTTCACAGTTTTTATTGATGTCATTAACCTTAGCATCATGAGTTAGTATTAGAAGTGGCTTGGTTTCTTTGAAGGCAGATCTTTGTACTATTCACCAGCACTTTCTTTCCTGGAGCTTACACACATCCAGTATTATTTCTGACATTCAAGACACATGTGCAGCATTTGTCTCTACATGGCATGTATTGAGGGAAGATCCTGAAATCTTTGTCTTAAAGAGCTTTGTCTGTCAACCTCCACTTGAATTCTCCTTTTATCTTAGGTACCAGAATATTGTCTTCTCCTGTCCACTGATAACTTAAATGCTCACTTCCATCTTTTTATTTGTCTCAGATTGGTGACATAGCTGTCAAGAATCAGTTATTTGGAGAAGCTACCTCAGAGCCTGGCATCACATTCCTAGCTGCTAAGTTTGATGGCATCCTTGGCTTGGCATTCCCCAAGATCTCTGTGGATAAAGTGACTCCTTTCTTTGATAATGCAATGAATCAGAAGCTATTGGACAAGAACATGTTTTCCTTTTTTCTAAACAGGTGAGACTAGTTCTGACATAATGGACTCTTTTTTGGCTTAAGATCTGCCCTTTGTTGTACAGCTAAATTTCATAGCACAAAGACCAAAAGACAAACCCCTGGAGTTCTATTGTAATTACTTTGATATAACTGGATCTGGAGGTCCAAAGCCTCCTCTCCCAAAGTGTAAGTCAGGAAGCCAGGGTATGACATAGAACAGGGCTCTACAGGTAAGGCTCACAAAGCATCTCTGTAAGCTACCTTGATAGGAAATCAAATGTAAGGCGATTCAGAAGCGCATGGTTGTTGTGATAAATTAGAGGTTCTTCATCCTACTAGGGGAGTGTTTACTTGGGGAAAAAAAATCAGTGGCGTACAGTTTGAGCTCACTTATAGGTAGCAGTGCTTAGAGCAGGATATGCAGTGAGGGTCATGCTATTTATGGGAATTGTGACAGGCCCTACATAATGTGTTAGTTGCTAGTAGAGTTGTGCAATCTGGGTAAACCATGATCCGTTTTGGTGTCCCAGATTTCGGTGGGAGCCCTGATCTGTTTTTTGGAATTTCACAGAAATCTATTTTCAATCTGGGAAGTCAAAAGATTTGTTTTCGATCCAGCCCATGGCAGCAATGGGGGAGACTTCCCAGGCTCCCCTTCCTACTCCTTTAAGCATTGTTTGTCCTTTTATTAAGAACTGGATTAAAAGCACCAGAGTTAAGATGCCACTCTTTCTGGGATCGTTTGTCCTTATATCCTTCATTAAGACCTGGATCAAAAGCATCAAACTTAAGATACTACTCCTTCTGCAACCTTTCCCTTCTTTCTTTCAAGGAGATCTGGGTTTAAGGCAAGAGCTTAAGAAACTCCCTTTCCTGGGATCCTTTCCCTTCTGTCTTTCAAGGAGACGTGAATTTAAGCAAGGGCTTAAGAAAACATGCTTTCTGGGATCCTTTTTCTTCTAGTGGCTGCCTCCCTCCCCGAACTCCACATTTAGCTGAAAGAAACTGTGAAAGCAGCTGTTTTTCAGTAGCCACTGTTCTGTTGTGGACAAAAAAAAAAACATGGCTGTAGAGCACTTGCCATTAAAGGCATCCAAATAAGCCAAAGACTGTTTTTTAAAGTGGATCTGGGCACAACCCTAGTTGCCAGTCCTTATTTGTGCATTTCCGTTCCAGTATCATAGTTACTGCAGCATCTCTCCTTTTTTTCGCTCTCCCTCTTCCCTCCCCAAGTTTGAGTTTAATGTTTTGCTTCTGCATTTACATATCACCTTTTCTAGAGATCCATCATCATCACCTGGAGGGGAAATAATTTTTGGAGGAGTAGACCCAAGGTACTACAGTGGAGACTTCAACTGGGTGAATGTCACTCGCAAAGCTTACTGGCAGGTGCACATGGATAGGTGAGTAGTTTTCCTTCTGGAATTTCACACTTACATTTATAGTGTTCTAACATAAAGTAATATACATTTTTGAATCCATAACAGGGTGTTGTGGCATATTCCAAGCCCCTAACAGAAGTTTCCCTGCTCAAGGCGCCGGTTTCTTTAAACAGGAATTTTGAAGCACAAGTTAGGACTTGGGAGGGAGTAAAGTGCAGGATGAACTAAGTGCAAAGAGGAGAGCTCCTTAGTTTCCTGCTGTGCCTCCCTCTGAATTCCCTACCCTCTCCCAGTCAATAATGCCTGGGATGTTATATTCCAGCCTTTCAGATATAGAATCTTAGAGTAGGAAAGGACTACAAATCGCAGCTAGTCCAGCAACTAAAGCAGTCACAAAAATGGCCATCCAAGCTATTCAAAGACCTCCAAAAGGAGGCTCCACCATCCTCCAAGACACTTTTACTACCATGGGTTTTTCCCATGGATTTTTTTTTCTTTTGTGATTTCAATCAATTGGTTTGTGTCCTGGTCTCAGAACAACAGAAAATATGCTTCACATCAGTCCCAAGCAGGATTGATTATTCTCTGCTGTATCACATCCAAAGGGCATCAAGCTAGAGAAGGCTGTTCTAGGGAGGCATTCCCCCCCACCCCAAATTCAGTTGACAGCTGATGCATTTTCTGCAGAGTCCACTGTAAACACTGCATGTTATTGCTATCAGATTTGTGTAAATGGGTGGCATTCAGAAAAAAATTACCTTTAGCCAACTTTTTCATGACCCCAAAATTGAACTAAGGGGACCTCATTTGGGGTTGGGACCCACAGTTTAAGAAATCCTGTTCTGTAATGCATGTCCATTTTCTCACTACCTGTTCACTTGTGCTGTCCATTATACATAGAATCATAAAGTTGCAAGAGACCACAAGGCGCATTGAGTCCAATCCCTGCCATGCAGAAAAAGCACCGTCAAAGCACTCCTGACAGATAGACAGCAATCTCATAATTTGTTTTTAGGATGTGCATTGCAATGTTTATTTAGTTTTTATGTCTAACTAGATTGTTCTTGTTTTTATTTTATTTTGATTGTAGTAAGTTTTCTGTTGTTACTCTCCATTATTCTATATTATTTTTCTTGTGTCTGTACCTATTTTGAGGCATTGCAATTTTTTTATGTGTAAACTGCCCTGAGTCCTTCCAGAGAGAGAGGGTGGTCTAGAAATAAGGTTTTATTATCCAGACTGTGTTTAGCCATTCAGCCTCTGTCAAAAGAAAGAGCATCCTCCAAATGAATCACAATGAATAAAAACACAGTTTATGGAATGAATAGTCTTCATGTTGTTGAGACACATAAAATCTCTACAGTATTCACTTTAGATATGCGATATATTTTCTCCTAGACATCTTTATATGCAGACTTTAAAAAAAATAAAACATTTATCTCCTCAAAATACGCTCTGGAAAATGTATGTATTTACTTATCTGATAAAGACTCAGTAAGATATTTTCCTAATCTCAGAATTATCTTCCTGTTACAGGGTTGAAGTTCCCAGTGGTCTGACGGTGTGCAAAAATGGTTGTGAAGCCATTGTAGACACAGGAACCTCTCTCATTACAGGCCCAACAGAGGAAGTCAAGGCTCTGCAGAAAGCCATTGGAGCTAAGCCCATCATTAAAGGACAGGTGAATGCTGGCAGGGAAGCAAGTAGGGTGGTGCCTGCGATGCCAAAGCATGTGAATAGTTTTCATGTTGTTGAAGTATTATTTGATTCTAGCTTGGATTCACATGCTTTAGTGACCCTAAATTAAAGTCATTTAGATAGTAGTTCAAACTGGTTGTATATTGAATTAATTATAACAGCACAACCTCAAGTTCCTTTGCCAGGGAGAGAAGTTCATGGTGTAAGAACTAGGCAGAGGGCATTTTCTGTGGTGGCAACTCTGGAATGCCCCCTTTTCATTGAAGCTGAACTGACATTAACACTCATTGCTGTGTTAAAACCTACAGAAAAGCAAACAAACTAAAATAAGACTTTGAAATGCCTTTTTAATGGTTTGTTTGCTGCTCTGTTTGCGTGTGGTTAATGATACTTTATTGCATTGCATTGCATTATATTGTGACATACTGGCTTTTATGCCTGCTGTTTATTGGAGGATGACTGTATACTATATACTTAATATATTTGTAACCTTCCTTTCTGTGCAGAACCCTCCCAGAGCTAGTTAAAAAGGCGTACATAACCAAATCATGAAAACCCATAATCAGTACAAACATAATTATCATAATAAATAAGAGACATTTAAAATATCAACAGTAACATAATGTTAAAGTAATCAAAAATAAACTGGAATGTGTAGATCATTTGAAAAACTTTCTGAAGGTCAACAAAGAAGAGCCATACACATTTCATAGGAAGGGGGTATTCAAAAGATCTGGCACTAACACAGAAAATTCCCTCTTCTAACTGTTCACCTCTTCCTTGCATAGCAGAGAGCAGATAATTAAATGTTGATCTTAAAGTCCAAGCAGCTTGTGTCAGTACAAATGGTCCTTCAGTTAGCCTTATCATAAACTGTTTCAGGCTTTAAAGTTGATTGTTTGCACTTAAAATTAATACACAACCACTGTAACTGTTACAGAATAGATGAATGTAAACAGATGGCTGTCTCCCATAAGACTTCTACTCGTTTGCTCTCTCCACCACTTGAATTTTCCATGCTGCCTTTTGGGGCAGCCCTGTGGAAAATGTTTTACAGCAATCAAACCTAGATCTAGCCAGGGCCTGTGTGACTGAGGCAAGATGTGTTCTCTTTAGATAAGACCACAGTAGCTGAAGCTGAAAAGAAATACTTTCTGAGCCATCTGTGCTTCCGTTGTGAAGTGCCAAGGCTTGGAAGAACTCCCAAATTCAGTGTCTGATCAGCTGTAGCTAGTATAGCTGATGCGGACAGCTGTAGAAAACTTAAGCCCAGCAACATCTAGAGGGATGTCACTACCTAAATTGAGAAGGGGAGTGGAGTTTGGCCAAGATGTGGCTTACAATATGAAAGGACAGATAATCTGGCTGAGAGACCAGCAGTGGTCTGTATATAGTCTAGTAACTTCAGAGTATTAGAGGCATGTTCTTTTAATGGGATTTCATAGCTTCAGTTCAATCCTAAGTCTACAAACTTCTGTAGTATATTAAATGTCATCTCTGCATGCAAAGGCGGTGGGGGCGGGGGATGTTTGTTAAAACAAAGGCAATGGTAGAAAGAAACAGTGAAAATGGCCATCACAGTGATGGTTGGGGAAAATATGCTCTGGAATTAATGAAACATAGTAACAACGTTTCTATGTGGCCCCCTATGGTGCAACAGGTTAAACCGCTGAGCTGCTAAAATTACTGACCAAAAGGTTGGCGGTTTGAATCCACAGAGCAAGGTGAGCTCCCGCTGTTAGCCCCAGCTTCTGCCAACCTGCAAATGTGAATAGATCAATAGGTACTGCTCCGGCAAGAAGGTAACAGCACTCCATGTAGGCATGTTGGCCACATGACCTTGGAGGTGTCTACGAACAACTCCGGCTCTTCGGCTTAGAAATGGAGATGAGTACCAGCCTCCACATTCAGACACAACTAGACTTAATGTCAAGGGGAAACCTTTACCTTTACTTTTAGTAACAAAGTGATGACGGACACTAGGCTCCTTTTTTCCCAGCGTGAATTGTTTTGTCTGCCATATTGCATGCAGAGTATTATATTAGATGGGTTTGGCTGTCCAGTGGACTTGTCTTTTGACAATACAGTATGTTGGAATGTTTTGCCTTAAGAAAGTTCTTATTTAGGCAGCAAAGGCAGAGGTCAAATATGGGAGCGAAAAATTGTGGGAGAGAAAAATTGTCTAACATGGGGTTGCGGAAAGTTGTCTTAGAGGGTCAATGGCCAAATTCTGTAGTTTTCATTATTAGGAGTAAGACATGTAATGTCCATAGCAGATTCTTATTAATTAAGGTTTTTCTTCTGTTTTTGCAGTATATACTTCCCTGTGAAAAACTTGCCACCCTTCCCACTGTGTCCTTTGTCATGGGAGGAAAACCTTATTCTCTCAGTGCAGATCAATATGCCTTGAAGGTATGTCCAGAGTTACTTCCATCTTCTTTCTTCTAATGCATATTCTTAACATAATATTTTATCTCTTCACTGCTCCCAAATCTTCAGTGTGTACACTTAGCATCAGGCTTTTTGGATCCTCTCCAAGGGAATAGTCAGGATTTGCCCTCCAAAAAAACCAGCAAAGCTGTTAACTCCACTACTGGAGTTAACAGCTGACAGAGATGTAGGCTGGATCTACACAGTCAAGAATACAGTTTAATGCAGTTAATCATTCTGAAACTGGATTATATGGCAATTTAAATTCAGCCCTTGATTTCTGAGTTGAATAAACAAGCAGGAACCAGCTAGATTAGTGTGAGTTCTGGACTTTGCTTCTCTTGAGAAAGTGAAGAAAGCAATAGGAGACCTAAACCAAGAAGGAGATGTGGTAGATCTTCTAGAATGGGAAGGCAGAAAAATAAAATGAATGTTCTGTAAATGTGTGTGGACCATCTATTACAATACATATGAATATGGATAAATCTGTTCTTTTTCCTGTTTCACCTACCCCCTTTCTCTCTGTTCTAGGTTACTGTACAAGGAGAAACTCTTTGCTTGAGTGGATTTTCAGGCTTAGATGTTCCTCCACCCGGAGGACCTCTTTGGATCCTGGGAGACGTCTTCATTGGCCCCTATTACACAGCGTTCGATCGGGATAATGATTCAGTCGGTTTTGCAAAGTGTACCGGCAAAGTGTGAATGCTTCTGGTCACCACCTCCCATAGTCTTTTTACAAGATGCACTCCTAAATAAGCACACTGGGGTTTTCCATTGTGATTTATTAGCATTAGGAAAAATCAGAGACATGCAAAGGAAAGAAACCTTTTAAAATATTAATGAAAACAATCATAGATTTTATTTTTTAAAACGAGACTAGTTTTTCAGGAATTTTATTTTCCTGCCCCCTAAATAACAGATCATAGAAATTGTCCAGTAAAATCAAGAAAACTGAAAAGTCTCAGCATTGTACATGCTCTCCTAACATCAAGCTACTTGAAACACTAGCAGTCTATGTACTTTTCGAGCATAAAAGCTGTAAATCCTTAATTCAGGGTAATAAATTAATGTGTTATCTTCATACCAAAAAAACAACACATACACACACACACAAATTAAGCAAGCCAGTAACATAGCAAATTGAGTGTTCCATAGTTGGCGATAGCGGAAGTGCTAGGTGGCTGGATGGTTACTATTTAATTTTACATTTGTTTCAGTCCCCGATTTGGAAGATGTATTGGCTATATTTCCCATAACATTCATGGGGGAGGGGGGTGGTCTAAGACTAAAAGGTCCTGGTTTACCAGTTTTGCAAAGCAAGCAGCAATTGTGGCTCTAGCTAATTGAGAATTAATAGCAAATAATATTCATAGTGGGTGGAGGGAGGAGTATTTCTATACCACATGACTAAGTTCCCCAGCTCACTCTTTTTTAAAAAATGCCCATAGTTGAAACTTTGGCCTGAGCAAATCTATTCCAGGGTTGATTTAGTTTCACCAATGTCTTGTAGACTTTCTCTTTAAATCCACAACTCCTTTGTATTTCCCAAGGTCTTGTTTTTTTGTTTTTTGAGGGAGGGAGAAGAGGGCTATAAAGAAAAGTGTCCTTGTTATGGTTTTTCCCACTTCTTCAAAACCACAATGTATCTCAACAGAGAATTTTTTAAAGCCCTTCTAGATAAATGTGGATTTGAAGAAGCATCTAAAAACATTCTGCTTTTAAAGATCACATTTTTCTTTAAGCTACATAATCACTTCAGTAACTCCCCACCCCCAGTATTATTTCTATTGTGAAGAAGAAGAACAATATTGTGATTAGCTCTGTAAAACATGCACTGTTTTGAAAAGTTTGTCTAGGAACCTTGTTGCTCTCCACATGCAGACTTTTGTTGTTGGAGATCTAGAGATGAACAAGCTCAGTATTAGACTTGAACTCCTGTTTTGGCCTGGCTGCGGAGTAGCTGTTCAGAGCAGGGAGGGATGTTAGGTAGCTAGTAAGTTAAATAGAATTGTATGAATATTTGCTTGATGGAAGAAATTTTTAAGCCCCTCTTAGATTATTTTGCAATATCCCATGATACTTGGATCCAGGCCCAAGGTTGTGACAGCATGGATAACAGAGAGGAAACCTCTTGAGATTAAAAGAACACAAGGCTGTTTGATGTACAGCCAACAGCACTTCAGTGAATATATTCTCTGAAACTAAGTGAAAATTCTGCACTTGCAAAACAATGCCGGAGGAAAGCTTGTGAAAGCAGGGGAGTAGAATATACCAGGAATTTCTGCATAGCTTTATGACTACTAAATGCTTATCCACTGAATTAAATATTTCAGATCTTGACTAGCAATCATGATGCCTTGAAGTCTCCAAAGAATTAGATGGGATGCCCATTAAGATCTGTAAATACCTGGTTAGGTTTCTCAGAAAGATTCTGCCACTCAAATAATAGTATGCTTGCAAATATTTCTTAGACTGAGATGCATCCATAAATTATATCATGTTCCAAATTACTCTGAGATGTAATGAAATGCTTTTCTCTAAACTCTGCTTGGTGCTTCTCTCTTCTAATGCCCTTCAATCATGACTGCCAAAATAAGTTTTCATTTGAAAGTATAACATGCAAACAAATATTCACAGAGCCATTAGTTTACACCAAGTGCCCATGGCTCTTTAAGACAGAAAGTGTACCAAAATGTATTTTAACACCATCAGGAGTCCATTTTATTCTCCTGAACACAATTAAAATACCATAAAATTAAGAAGTATCTCCATAGTCCTGAATTGATAAAAGAGGAAAGTAAGTATACCACAGATTTTGGGAGGTGTTTTTTTTAACAGGATTGGTTTATTTTGAATGCAAATTCGGCTATTAGATCAGTAGTTTGCTACCATTCCCCTGTTTTGCTTGCTTTTCATAAATAAGTGGAATGCTGTTACACTCTCTTGTTGTTGGAGTAATACAGTCTGCTGTCATATCTGTTCTCAATTTGTTATTGAAATGAAATAAAGATTTTGTTCCCCACCACCACCATGATTTCTGTCATCTTTTGAAGAGTTCAGTGATACTTTTAAGGAGCTAAGTGATGCAGTATAGACATAGCTGCAAAGAATAACCCAGAATAGAAAGCCAGGCGTGGTTTAGAAAGCTCAAAGATATCAGTGATTTCAACATAGTGCCAGCTTTCTTTATTCTTGCTAAATTCAGCTGGAGTCACTCCAAGAGAAATGTGCCTATATGGGACTGGAAAAGAAGCTGTCATGCATCCTCGTAATAACCTGAGTCCTCTATGTTATGAGAGGATCAGACCCAATTTACAAGCCCTGTTCTAGAAATATCAACAAAGCAACTTTAGTTCTGGGTTGCTGTGAGTTTTCTGGGAATAATAATAGGCAAAAAGAACCTCACCACAACCCCAATAACCATACAACCTTGGCTGTAAAAATCTGAAAAACCAATCTAGCTTAGCTACTTCGCATATTACCTGCTTGAGTACCACTTTTGGTTTCAAAGTATATACAACTACCTGCAAGAAATATAACATGAGGCCATCTTTGAAACCTGGATCTGGATGTTTTGCATGACAAATTTAGGATGCATGGCCACTACAACAATATATTAAGTGGATTGTTTGGCAAACTATAAAAGTACACATCTTTGAAGCATATGGTCTAGGCACTCAATGAGTTGCATAATTCTTCCTTGCTATCCTCACAAGAGTCAACTGTGATTATGCATGAAACTCCAGAATTGGTTTGGACTCATTGTATGAAACTAGGCTAAAGCAATGCAGTTAATCAACAACTAAACTAACCCAACTGCAGCACCAGTCCCTTCAAAAGAAAGATAGGTGGGAAACTGTTGAGATTGGGGGCCGCAGTGTATTCCACTTGCTTTTACCATCAGGAAGTTTGTCCTAATATTCAGGTGGAATTTGGGAGATGCAAATATTTGCACATCATTTATTTGCTGCAGAAAGCTGAAGTAGGGCTAATGTTAAGGCATGGAGGGTTTCAACTTTGTATTTTCTCCTCGCAGCCAATCCAGGGGAAGGAGACAAGGACTCTGGCACATAGTAATAAACTAATTTATTGTTGCATGCAAAATGGCTCCTTTGGTTTACGTACAAGAGCAAAAGAAGGGATTCAGTTTTAATCAATAGGTAATATACAGTTTGTACATTTCCCTTTAGCCTACTGTTTAACATGTGATTATTTTTTAAATACAATTCATAGCCTATCAGGATACAAAGACATGCTGAAATGCAGAAAATTCTACAGTTTGTTAATTCCCCCTATCCCATGCACATAGCTAGTCAGACAGAGTTTTCTATATCCCAACATGAGACCAAAATGATTTCAGGAAAAAGCATTATGGTTTGTTAGTCACTGAAGTGTATTTTGGCACAATGCTGTGGACTGCATTCAAAATGAGAAAGATTGTAAAGGGAAAAAAACTGGCTGGTACCAATAGCATCTGGTTCCAGGACAAATTCATGTGATCATTGTACTTTCTAAATGTTCTATGATTTCAGAGTGGATGAGTTACAATACGTGAGGCCGTGGATCATATTTTAGTTATTGCAGATCACTGGTGGTCCACGGACCACAGGTTGGGAACCACTGCTCTAAAAGAACATGGTCACTCCCACTTAAGGAGCCTCCTGCTTTCACTCCATTTGCCAGGTTGTCACTGTTGGTTAGGATCAGATCTAAAATAGCTGATCTCTTTTTGCCTCTTCCACTTCCATGGCTATCAATCCATTTCTTTAGATGCCATGATGGAGTTGGAATGACAGCCATAGGTAAATTGCACAGCAAGGTTGTGAGAAGTGCTAGCAGAGCATGATAAGATATACCGTAGACAGGCCCGTACCCAGGATTTTGATTTGGCCGGGGGGGGGGGGGGCTGAGTCTGAGTGAAAGAGGGTCTACCCTAGCAAACCTTTTGTATCGTTACCCCAATACCCCCATGCATATGGAATATATTGAGCATGGTGATCAGATCATGATATGAATAAACATAACAGTTTAAATAATGTACCAGTAAGGCCTTCTCGCGGACCACCATGAGAATTTCGGGAGGGGGGGCTGAAGCCCCTCAAGCCCCCCCCCCCGCCCAGCTACATGCCTGATCGTAGATAGATGCAAATTGTGTTCCCAGATCATAAGCCTTCAAGATCTGTATCCAATAGCATATGTCTGTCAAGCAGCTGGTTTGTAGAGCCAAGGTTTGAAAATAATACTAAAAACAATACTAAGAAAGTTAATACTTGAAACAACACTGAAGCGATAGTTTAGTATACTTAAGGAAAGGGATACATAGAAAAACTGACAACAAGGCTTAAGAACCAAAGAATTCAAGTAGCAGTCATAACCTGGGTGAAACTATAACGATGTGGCACTTTTGCGCTGCTTACTTTAAATGTATCAAAAATCATATTGTTATCTTTTAAAAAATAAATAGATTCCAAACACATTACAAATGTTACAGGAAACAATGTTAACTACGAAAATCCCAGCTGAAGAGATCTAATGGAACTGTACATATACAAAGTGTACAAAGTTCCACCTTGTCTCCTGTGTTGTGCTAATAATACAATATAATATATTGTATATACATATACTATCAATAATATTATAATGTAATACAATACTACTAATAATATGATATTATAATTATATATTTTATATTACATGTAATATTACTAATAATATTACAGTATAATAATATACTACAATATAGTAATATATAATACTAATATTGTGCTATGCTTATAATTTAATATATGGTATTTACATATTACTTGTAAGCTGCTCTGAGTCCCCTTCTGGGTGAGAAGGGCAGCACATAAATGTGGTAAATAAATAAAATAAATAAATACATATAGATTGTGTGACCAAAATCTTAACAGCGATACTGAACCTCAAGAAATGTTTTACCTCAAGAAATGTTTTGGGAGATACCAAATATAAAGTTTATTGTGTCCATAAATCACTTAAGCTAACCTCAAACTAGTGACAAAATGTCCCGTGTAGCCAGGCTGGTAAAATACTACTTTCCTGTTGTTGTTGTTATGTGCCTCCAAGTCAGTGATCCCCTCCTAGCATATTCTTGGCAAGATTTATATGCCCGCCCCCAAGGTCATCCATTGGGTTTTCATTTAAGTGGTGATTTGAATTGTGCCCCCTCCCCCAGAATCTGAATCCGACACTGGGTGTATTCAGAGGAATTGTCACTGACTGATAAATTCTACCCAAAGAGAGCTCCCTGATGGTTCATCACCATTCTATAGGAAAGTAACAGCGGGATCCTGTCCTGGGCCTGGTGTTGTTCAATATCTTTATAAATGACTTAGATGGAAGGAGCAGAGGAGATGCTCATCAAATCTGCACATTGCAACAGCCTGGGAAGGCTAGCTAATACCTCAGGAAACGGAATTCAAGATGACCTCAACAGATCAGGGAGCTGGATCAAAGCAAACAATATGAATTTTAATATGGGTAAATGTAAACTTCTATATTTAGGTAGGAATAACCAGATGCATGAATATAGATTAGCTCAGAGTTTATTTAGCATTAGCACGTGCAAAAGGGATCTAGGGGGTCTTAGTAGGCTGCAAATTAAACATGAATCATCATGGGGGAGATGATTAAAATGCTAATTCAGTTCTAGGCTACATCAATGGACTTGCATTCAAGGGACGAAGAGTAGCGCTCTTTGCTATTTTGGTCCAGAGTTGGAAGGGGAAACATGGGCCACTGAGTTTACTTCCCTGCTATGAAATAATATACAGCTGAAAGATGCCTCGTTTAAGACTTCCAGAGATGGAGAGGAGCCGGGGGGGGGGGGGTGGACTATCATCCTCTGACAAGTTCTGGGCAAGTTTTTAAAAGGACATTGACAAGCTGGGATGTTTCCAAGGTTGGTTAACTAAGATGTTAAAGGATCTGGAAACTGAAGTATATGAAGAATGACTACGCTGGAAGCTGGGCTGATTTAGCCTGGAAAAGAATGATAGCAATGTGATGTGGTAGTAATCCTCGAATATTTGAAGGGTTGCCAGGTTGAAAATGCAGAGTACAGCTTAAACAAGTGGATTCAAAGGAGAAGACAATGTTGACAGCTCCTTTTCAGTTGGGATGGTTATTAGTCCTCTAGAGCAGGCTTGGGCAAGCTTGGGCCCTGCAGGTGTTTGGAATTCCCACAATTCCTAACAGCCTCAGGCCCTTTCCTTTTCTCCCTCAGCCACTTAAGCAGAAAAGAAGAAAAGGAAAAGGCCTGAGGCTGTTAGGAATTAGAATAACAGAATCAATGAGTTGGAAGAGACCTTGTGGGCCATCCAGCCCAACCCCCTCCCAAGAAGCAGGATAAAGCCATTCAAAGCACCCCCAACAGATGGCCAGCCTCTGCTTAAAAGTCTCCAAAGAAGGAGCATCCACCACACTATGGGACAGAGAGCTCCACCGCTGAACAGCTCTCACAGTTAGAAAGTTCTTCCTAACGTTCAGGTGGAATCTCCATTCCTGTAGTTTGAAGCCATTGTTCCACATCCCAGTCCCCAGCTTGTCGATGTCTCCCTTCAATTGTGTTGCCCAGAATTGTGTTGCGCCCCTGGCAGATGGCATTCCAGCCTCTGTTTAAAAGTCTCCAAAGAAGAAGCCTTCACCACTTTCTGGGGCAGAGAGTTCCACCGCTGAACAGCTCTCATGGTTAGGAAGTTTTCCTAGTTCCAACAGACCTCACAACCTCTGAGGATGCTCGCCATGGATGCAGGCGAAATGTCTGGAGAGAATGCTTCTAGAACATGGCCATATAGCCCAAAAAACCTACAACAAAACCAGTTCTTCCTAATGTTCAGAGGGAATCTCCTTTCCTGTAGTTTGACACCATTGCTTCACATCCCAGTCTCCAGGGCAGAAGAAAACAAGCCTGCTCCCTCCTCCCAATGACTTCTCCTCACATATTGATACTTACTTACTTAGGTGATCCCTTGTTGTCTGAGTAGAATAGTCTTCCAAGATCAGTGTACTGGCGGTGAGTCCATAGGTGACTGTGGAGCCCTATTCTTGATATGCATTTTCTCCCGCAGTGAGGGCATTGGTTTCCAGGTGGAAGGCGGTCCTGGTCAGAGTTATCTTGATGCGCCTTCTTCTTGGAACATTTCTCTTTTGCCCTCCATTCGTGTCTCTTCAAATTCTACAGCACTGCTGGTCACAGCTGACCTCTAGCTGGAGTGCTCAAGGGCCAGGGCTTCCAAGTTCTCAGTGCCTATGCCAGTTTTAAGGTTGGCTTTGAGCCCATCTTTAAATCTCTTTTCCTGTCCTTCAACATTCTATTTTCCATTCTTAAGTTCGGAGTAGAGCAACTGTTTTGGGAAACAGTGGTTGGGCATCCAGACAATGTGGCCGTTCCAGTGGAGTTGATGGTGGAGGACCATCGCTTCAATGCTGGTGGTCTTGGCTTCTTCCAGCATGCTGACATTTGTCTGCTTGTCTACCCAAGAGATTTGCAGGATTTTCCAGAGGCAGCACTGATGGAATCATTCCAGGAGTTGCATGTGACGTCTGTAGACTGTCCACGTCTTGCAGGCGTATAGCAGGGTTGGGAGGACAATCTATATAAATAAAAATGTAATGTTCATTTGTGGGATTAACATATCTCAAACACCACTGGACAAACTGACACCAAATTTGGCCACAAGACACCTACTAACCCAAGGAGTGACCATCACTCAAAAAAATTGATTTTGTCATTTGGGAGTTGAGCATGGTGATCAGGTTCACCTACAATCAAAGAGCATTCTGAACGCCATCAATGATGGAATTGAACCAAATGTAGCACAAAGAACTCCCATGACAATACTGGAAGGGTTTGGTGGGCATTGACCTTGAGTTTGGAAGTTGTAGTTCACCTCCATCCAGTGAGCACTTTGAACTCAAACAATGATGGATCTGGACCAAACTTAGCACGAATATTCCATATGCCCAAATATGAACACAGATGGAGTTTGGGGAAAATAGACCTTGACATTTGGGAGTTGTAGTTACTAGGATTTATAGTTCACCTACAATCAAAGAGCATTCTGAACCCCACCGAGAGAATTGGTGCAAACTTCCCACACAGAACCCCCATGACCAACAGAAAATACTTAAGACCATCCAGTCCAACTCCCTTCACCAGAGCAAGAAAATATAATCAAAGCCCTCCTGACAAAGAGCCATCCAGCCATAGATATAGATAGATATGATTCATACACAGAGATATAGTATCATAGATTTGAAAGGGACCCCTAAAGAAGGACAATTATATGTTGCATGTTCCAGAGCAGGCAAACCAGACAATCTCTACAACACTGACAAAGAAACAACAAGAAATACTGTTTACCCAGAAGCAGTAAGAAATTACATATATTAGAAACCAAAACTTTATCATTACTTTATTTTCCAGATCACGAGACTGGGCCACAGCAACGCGTGGCAGGGGACATCTAGTAGCTTTATAAACAAGCACCTTGGTCTCCCTAGGGATGTCCTGGTCCTCAAACACTCTCTGCTTCATTCGGAAAAAAGCTGCACTCGCAGAACTTAGGCGGTGTTGTATTTCGGTGTCGATGTTGACTTTGGTGGAGAGGTGGCTGCCAAGGTAGCGGAAATGATCAACGTTTTCTAATGTTACACCATTAAGCTGTATTTCTGGCATTGGAGAGGGATTGGTTGGTGACTGCTGGAACAGCACTTTGGTTTTCTTGATGTTCCATGACAGGCCTCGTATGCTTCTCAGAAGGTGTTTAGAGTGGCTTGTAGGTCTTCTTCTGAATGTGCAGAGGACACATATTGATACATGGTCATTATAGAGCTGAAGTCCAAAACATGTAGAGGGCCCAAGTTTGCCCAAGCCTGCTCTAGAGGAACAACGTGGCAGAGGGGGAAAGTTGGTACCCTCTTTGTGCCCTTGGTTAGGCGACACCTCTTTCCTTCCTCCTTGGGAACTTCTCACAGCCCCTGGACTGCCACTTGAGGAGCGCCCCCTCAGCTCACAACAGCCCTAGCAGTCCGGGGGGGAGCCTCGGCTTTCTTGCCTCACTGCCGGGCGATCCTCTTCCCGAAGGGGCCGGGCCCTTGAGCTTCGCCTAGCCCCTCTCGTTCCTGCTCCATCCGGCTGCCGGGTGCGCGCGCAGAGCCAGCGCTCAATCGTTCTCCCGGTTCGATCCCTTCCCCGTGACCGGCTCCCTTTCCCGAGCCTCCGGCACTCCACCCGCCTCACGCTCCTCTCCTCTCTCCCATCCGCGGGTGGGCCAAGGGGCGGAGCTGCTGCGCAGCGCTTGCTCCCTTGCCTGGCCCACTTTGGGTCCGGAGGTGTGTCTGGAGACCCCGGCGTGCACACACAAAAAGTCGCCTCTTCTCCTGACTTTCTCCTCAGCCATTGGGACCAAGAGAGAAAGAGAGAGAGAGAGAGAGAGAGAGAGAGAAACAGAGAGAGAGGGAGAGAGCGGGAGGTGGAGATGCCCCCGTTTCCCGAAGGTAGGTGCGAAAACAAAGGAGGGAGCAGAGGTGGGAGATACCTTGAGCCGGAGGGGCTCCAGTGGCTGGCTGGCGGGCGAGTGGGTGGCCGAGTGGGAGACTGTGCGCGCGCGCACTGGGCGCTCGGGGCCAGCCTATCAAAGGAGAAGGGAAGGGGCGACAAAAGGGGAGCGCGCCTCAGAGGGGAGGGGGAGAGAGACCCAGAGACAGAGGGAAAGGGAGTGGGTGCTGCTTGACCTCCTTCCCCCCTTCCCTTATGGGGAGGGGGAGAGAGAGACAGATAGAGAGAGGGGGGAGGGGGTGCTACTTGACCTCCCCCTCCTCCTTAAGGGGAGGGGGAGAGAGAGAGACAGAGGGGGGGAAGGGGTGCTGCTTGACCTGCCCCTCCCCCTTTCCCTTATGGGAAGGGGACGGGGAGGGGGAGAGAGAGAAAGGGAAGGGGTGCTGCTTGATCTCCCCCTTTCCCTCCTTTCCCCATCTAGCTGCAACTCCACTTGGTAAAAAAAGCAGAGCCGGAGGCAGAGCCGACTCTCTGGCTGGCCTCTGTCTCTCCCCCTCCCCCCCCTCTCTCTTCCAGCTGGAGAGGAGATGGCGGGATGGACGGGGAGAGCAGGCAGGCAGGCAGGCGCTGGGGCAGAGCGTGGGCTCTTTTCCTGGCGGGCTGGGGGGGGGGGGGGGGGGCGGACGAGAGAGCGCTCGTGCCAGCTCGCCCCCTCCGCCCCTCCTCCCCCTCCTCCTCCTCCTCCTCCTCTCAGCCACCTCTGACCGGGCGACATTGTCCGCCCGGGAGCCCCGCTGGCAGGTGAAGGCAGCGACGGGGAGGCGAGGCCCACTGAGGTCCCTCAGGCACCCTCCAGACCCGAGGACGAGGCGGCGTCGGCGCCACCTGCGAGGGGGGGGGGAGGGAGGGAGGGACGGGACGGGACTGGGGGGGGCGAGGCGGGGCTGCCTGTCGCAGCTGGAGAGGCGGGGGAGGGGGCACCAGGGAGCTCTCGGCCACCCCAGACCCACTCTCTCCTCCTTGCCTCTCGCTTCAGTCCCGCTTCCAGCCAGAGATCTGTTTCCTCCTCGGAAGCTCTTGGGGAGAGGAGAGAGAGAGACACACACACAGAGAGAGAGGAGTTGTTGTCATCATCATCACCAGACAATACCGCAAAGGACTTTGGCGGAGGAAAAGCAATCGTAAGGCAGGATGGGCAAGGGAGAAGGGCAGGGAGAGGAGTGTGATCGGTGGGCCAGGCTCCCGTGCCTTTCCCCTTATGTGTGTGTGGATGTGTGAATGGGAAGAAACTCCGAGGCAAGGGAAGGGAAGGGAGAGCAAGCTTACTGCAGGACACCCTCAGCTGCAGGGAGCCAGGGAACTGTTACACTGCTGCATACATTAATGACTGCTCTCTGCGCTGGAGCCGTCCTTCTGCGTGTAACCGATCTTTTCTCTTTCTCTCTCTTCTCCCCTTGCCTGGAAACCTTCCTCCCCTCTTCTTCCTCCTCCATCCCCTTCCTCCTCCTCCTCCCTCTCCCTCTCCCACCCTTGCCTCTCCTTGTGCTTCCCCTGCCTGCCTGCCTCCTCCCCGCCTTCCCCAGGGGATCACACTTTGCTGGGATATAGTTGTGTCACCTGGGGGCTGCCACCACGGAGAGGCCACAGGAACCCCCCTTGGGCCCTCCCTGTCCCTTTGACGGGGCCTTTTGGACTCGAAGACCCCCCCACGCCCCCCAGCAGGGCTGCTTCGCCTGCATCTCCAAGGCGCCCTCCGCACAACCAGGATCGCCGGTCCTGTCGCCTTCCTCTGCCATTTGCCTCATGGAGAACAAGAGCTGCAAAGGGGATACCCTGAGGCCCCCCGGGGTCCAATGTAAACACTCGGTCGAGAAGAAGACGATGACGAATCCCACCACGGTGATTGAAATCTACCCAGACACCACCGAGGTGAACGATTACTATCTCTGGTCCATCTTCAACTTTGTATACCTCAATTTCTGCTGTCTGGGTTTCATTGCCTTGGCGTATTCTCTGAAAGTAAGTACTCACCTCAGCCTCATATAAGGAGGCTTCCTGTAAACCCATTGCCAGAGGAAGTCTCTTTTGACTCTGGCTCAACTGCATGGAGAAACGTGTTTCTTGCTGCATGTTATCAGGGGAGCATAGGGTTGCATGAAGATAATCCGGATTATTTTTAAAAGAAAGGTAAAAAGACATGTTGGTAACACCTATGTCTAAATAACCAATTAGCATTCTAGTGCCAATGCCAGGGAAATAACTAATCAAAAATCTAGAGAGGTAAAATAGAAAACACCTGCTGTTTCACATTTTAAATTGGTTTAAGCCATTACGAGATATAATCTTTGAGATGTATAGCTATTGAGGTAAACAAACTATAGATAGAAAGGGCATCTGGTATGTGTAAGTCAAGACCTACCTTTTTTGTGGACTAGGGCAGTGCTACTCAATAACAGTGGGCAAGTGGGCACAAATATGAAGCCTGTCCCTGTCACACTGAAGAAAAAATATTGCTGTTCCCTTACATCAGAAGCTCCAAGATGCATTAGGTTTGGAAGTGTTTTGAATCAGTAGCTTCACTGTCCCATCATGACTATCCGTCAAGCCTGTATCACTTTCTTACAGTACAGTATTTAGCTTTATAATGAGCCTATTAGGTTGTTAATTCGCCCTTTGCATTGAAGATGATGCTGAAGAAGAGAGTAAGAAAGGGTTACTTGCCTGATAAATGTCTCAGAGTTCATTATGAATTCTTGTTTTATGCATATTTTATGAGGCATTCTCTATCACTACAAAAGATTCCAAACTTTGATTCTGTTTCTATAGTGATCTTAGAAACAAACTTGTTTACCATCTTAACAAACAGTATTTTTATGGGTTGCTGTGAATTTTCTCAGCTTTATGGCCATGTTCCAGAAGCATTCTCTCCTGACGTTTTGCCCACATCTATGGCAGGCATCCTCAGAGGTTGTGAGGTTTGTTGGAAACTAGACAAGTGAGGTCTATATATCTGTGGAATGTCCAGGGTGGGTGAAAGACCTTTTGTCTGTTTGAGGCAAGTGTGAATGTTTCAATTGATCAGTGTTGCATTTTATGGCTTAGGTTCCAGCCATTTGACATTCAACACATCTATTAACATGTTTAAGTTCTCCAAGTAGAAATCTTGTCATTAGGTGCTAGGATTTGTTGTGTCAGTGTATGTGTGTGTGTGGGGGGGGGGGGGGAGAGACATCTGGAGTCCAACTAGTGTAAAAACCTGTAATATTGCTGTGAACTGCAATGCACATTTTCCAAAGCTGTGCAATCACATTTCTGCTAGCAGAGATTATGGCTCAGTTTCAACAAGAGGTAACTTTTTAAAAGGAAGATAATTTAAATGCTCCATAAACAAATGATTCATATGAGTGTCATCAGGAATCTTTTCACAAACCTGTGGAATTGGATTCTGACCCTCAGATAGAAGTCTTCTGCAATCTGCATGGCTTCCAGTGAGAAAGAATCATTTGAGGAAGAGAACAGCTGCAAACTAGAAGAGCCAAGAAACCTTTGGAAAAGAGCCCCTTAAGCAAAGAGGGACTCTACTCTTTAAAGGACCTCTGAGTCCCATGTAACCTTTGCTATCCACTGCACTGGTCAGCTTCTTCTTTTGGCAAGGAAGAGCAAGAAAAGGGGGAAAGAAACAGCTGCTCTTCGGGCTACCCAAGCGGGAGAAGAGAGAGAGCCACTCATGGTTCACTCTCCCCAAGGCTTCACAAATCACAAGGTCAGCAATGGAGACTTTCTAGGAGAGCAGAGACTACCAGCTATGGGGTGGTGGAAAACTGAAGGGATAGGGTACATGTCACAGAGAGAAGGAGGGCAGATAGGAAATCTGTGTTTTGTTTTTCTTAATAAAAAAAAGAAAGGGGATAGGGAAGAAAATCAGCAAATCTGCACAAAATAAAGCTCTCGGGGAAGCCTTTTTGGCTTGCTTGGTCATCGCTGAAAATAGAGATGGCAGTGGTGGGTGTTGATGATGATAAAGAGAGAGAGAGAATGAGCTGCCCATATAGCTAATCTAGCTTGTATAACCCTTTTTCTAAGGTAATACTACCCTCCAAGCACACCAGATCGGCTTGTAATTATTCCTCATAACTGCAGGGTGAATATGAGCCAGCTGGGCTCCAGAATTTCATTGCTGAGCAGAGCCAACAAGCAAACTGTGATCATCTATCAAAAAGAATGATCGTTGCCTCCACTGTTTATGTCCCCTTTTATAAGAGGGTGGGAGAATAGCTAACTGAATGTGAGGATGAGGGAGGTCGGGGGTATTGTGTAGCCTCTAACATAACTGGGATTGAGTGAACTGAGAGACAGAGCAGATAGCGGATGTGTTCTGGCAAGCAGCATTTACACTATTCAGAGGGATTTCATCACAGAAATAGATCAATTAATTGCATATAACTCCAGCGACCGTGAATTCCACAAGAGTGCTTTGGGGTTGTTTGTAAGCTAGATGCACCCTCTGTCTTTTTGGTGTTATAAGCTGGCTACCAAATACTTGGTTTGGATCAGGAAGCTGTTATACCCTCACTGACTTGCGGAACCTCACTGACTTGCCTTTATTACTTGTTTTCTTCCATTCTTCAGTTTCACTATGTGTGGATAGATTACAAATGTGTTCTTTTTGCTGCAAAGAGTAAGTCCCACTGAATTCCATATGACTTAATTCTAAGTAGACTTAGGATTGCAGTGCTTATTTCTTAAAACATTTTGGGATGCTGGATTTATTTAATATGCTATTGCATGCCAACTGTTATAAAAGGCTTATTTGGCAGGCAATTCAGAAGTTATATGGTTCACCACCATCATTCTTCAAAATGCAATTTTGCATCCACTTTTAAGATCTGAAGCTTTTTTGGAAATGGTATGAAGGCAATTCCGTTCTTAAGATCCCTTGCTGCAAGTTTCATTTTCAAGCTGATGGATTTTGGACTGTTACATGTTCACTGCAAAGTGGGAAGAAATGTCAGAGCAAACAGGTCATAGCTGTTTTCTGCTAATGCAGAATACAGTGCATAAGTTGGCTTTCTGTGAAATATAACCTGCATTTTTTAGAAAAATCACATTTCTAGTATTTATGGTAACGTCAACGTTTGAAAATGTATGAAGGTTTTGTTGTTGAAAGAAGAGAATCTGCACTAAGCTTCCTGTGTTGAGGACAACAGAGTTCTTGTCCCTGTTTAGCTTTCCTTATGAACACCATGCATTAACACTTCTTTTCCTATTAAAATTTTCCAAAGTTATATTGAAAACCTAAACCACATTTAACATTCTAACCACAAGATCTCCAGGTGTTTTCTTTGGATCTAGCTAGTTTCCTTTTATGTATTAAAATGCTGCAGTCCACAATGAAAGTTTAATTAGTTGGTTCTGGTTTTCTGTCCATCTTGAGTTCTGTGCTTGGAGAGTAATTTACAGCATCACCAGGCCAGGACCAGAGAAGAGCAGCTCTGAATTTGGAGCAAATTGGAAAGTGAAGCTTGAGGTGTGCCTGTGAGAAGATACTCATCTGCAAATTGGACAGGGGCGGAAATGCAGTTTCTTGGTATTTATACCTGGTCTGGTTGACCAGGATTCTTGCTGACTGAAGGAGTATTAGGTGTCAACATGTTAGCATATAAGGCATAATTTCTTCTGTAAACCACTCTGCCCCACAGGAGAACTAAGGGCCTTCCATTATAACAATGATATGGAAAAAAAACTTGGCCAAATGTTTAACTCCCTGCTCTTACAAACTGGAACATAATTTCAAATGTCTGTTTGTGTTTAACCAAAGTGCTGCAACATATTTTATTAAAGGATTCAGGGGGAAAACAGATCTCATATCAATTTTGCCATGATTTCTGTTTGTGACAAGTCCTTTAACTATAGCTCTGTTATATTTATGACAGCTAAGCTTCAGTGTATAAGGGGGAAATAAGATGAAACAAAGCTCAGAGAAAGGTACTTGGTGACACTCTTATTTTTTTGAGTAGCAGGAAGTATTTGGTAGAAGGAAAAGATGTTATAGTAAGAATTTGTTGTATGTCATGTCACTAAAGTGGAGCCAACATAGTATAGTGGTTTGGGCACTCAACCACTATTCTGAAGACCAAGGGTCAAATCCTTACAATGTGTTGGAAATCCACTGGATGACCTTGGAGAAGTCACACACACTCTCAGCCTCATGAAGGTGAAGGAAAAAATCCTCTAAATCAGTGGTTCCCAACCTGTGGTCCATGGACCACCAGTGGTTTGCAAGAACTAAAATATGGTCTGTGGCCTCACCATTACTATACCATTGCAATGGTCTTGCAAAACCCTTTTATAGTGCTGAGGCTTATTAAATATGGTTTTCTGTGGGCAGATGGTGACTACTGGATGGCTTATGTTCTGTATCAGAAACTACAGCTGATGTGGTCTATCCAATGCAGTTTTCTTAATCATCACCCCCCCAAAAAATTCAACAAAGCATCTTGTGATTCTTTTATCATTACAAAAATGTAATGATAAAAGCAAACATTACACCATATTGGCAGATTTATATGTATGTGCCTGGGTAAGTAGTAATTTTCAACAGTGATGTTAGAAAGAGTTGAAATGGAGAAAGTAGTTGCCGTTCACAAGATCTTGGGACATAATACAGATGTGATTGAATTGGTGAATAGATTTAATACATGCGGTATGATAGTTGAAAACAAAACACTGGCAACCTTTGCTCTTGTTCTTACCAGGAAATATAATTGAATCTCTCGTTGAACTCTGTCAATCACTCACATTGAAACCTTTGAAGGAGATTTTTAGGTTATGTTCAGGAGACTGCATTTGGGAGTGGGGCTGCTGATTCTGTTGGAAACAGAAGATATCCATCGGGAATATCCAGTTGGATCCTGGCCTATCAGCCTGATTCATTCTTCCTTTCCAATTAATTGTCTGCCTTTCAGAAGCTTCTCTGTTTCCCTGCAGAGTAGAGTGGCCTCTCAGCAGTCAGCTCCAGG